CCCGAGGCCACGGCGGGGCCCCTCCGGCCGCGGCCGGCCGCCCACGGCGCCGAGACACACCATGGTCTCGAGCGTAGTAACCGCCGTCTCCATGTTGAATAGTTGACATTCCTCAGGCGGTGGTATGTTCCCCCCCTCCCAGCCCGGACCCACCCCTTTCCTCCCTGAGTGGAAGAGACGCCGCTTCCTATTGGTCATCTGTCAGGGGGCTCTCCGCCTGAGTGGCGCCGCTCGGACCTCTCTCCACGCCTATTGGCTAACGGCGGTTATAACTCGCCGCTTTATGAGACGGGATCTTTCATTGGGCAACGCGGAGGATACGCGCTCTTTGATAGGCCAGAGAGGTGCGAACGGGGAGAGCAAAGAGTGAGCTGAACTCAGACGCTCGGGAAGCTAAACAAACCGTTCCTTATTGGTCCATTTTTTCCCCAAAGGCGGGCCCAGCGCTTGAGTCCTAGCTCTCCATCCCAATAAGGCTTCATCCCTCACCGGTTCCCTTTCTTTCCGCTTTTCAAACCTGATTGGCTGTTTCTGCCAGCCGAGGCACACTATTAGCTGGAGTGGTATCCAATCGCGTGGCGCATGACGTCATGGTTTTTTTTTTGTCTAGGGACCGCAGCGCTGAGCTCTGATTGGTTGCGGCGGGCGAAGCTACCCGTTTGAATTGTTAGGCGTGGAAAGGTGCTGGAGGAGGCAGCCTTGCTTGCAAGGTAAGGGAGGGGCGCCGGTGGATCAGTGAACCAAGGGCCGGGGGTGGTGGATCACAACCCCCATCATCCCCAGACAGCTGCCTCAGCATGATGGGTGTTGTAATCCACTCACAAGGAAGGCAACGGGGAGCTCAGATCATTCCATCAGAAGCATGGATGATGCCACGTAGAACATTGCTTTAAATGCTATAAATAAAAATAAACTTGGGATTGGGGGTTGATAGGGAAGGAGCTCCCCAGAAGAATGGAAAGGGTCTGAATGCATTTTGGGTATCCATTGGCTACCCTGTCGGCTGATCCTTCCTGTCCAGAAGTATCACTTTTGCTTCTGACACAAGAAAAGGAACTTATTGTTATTGACAGAATTTCTGGCACTGATGTCTTCTTCAAACAGGACTTCAGGCTCATGTGCTTCTGACACAAAAAAAGGAACTTATTACTGTTGTTGTTATTGACAGAATTTCTGGCACTGACGTCTTCTTCAAACAGGACTTCAGGCTCATGAGGACAGTACAGATATACTGTAGCTTAGCCTGAGCTTAGGGAGAATGCCCAAAAGCAAGCAACGGAGGCGCCTCAGATTGAAAGTCAGGTCAAAAATCTGTTTGATGAAGAAGAGGAGAAGTATTAATCAGCTTCAACGTTCAGATGTTGTACCTCCAAAGTAAGTGGCTTGTGTTTTATTTTAATTTGGATGTGCTGTGGTTTTCTGTAATTTCAGCTAGGCTGTAATTTCATCATCTCACTGATTTTCAAAGTCTGGTCTTCGCCCCCAAAGACGTGAGAAGTGAAACTGTTCCTGCCCACAGGCTTCATAACCTAGCAGGGAGGAGGAAAAAAAGCAAACTCAAGACATTAGACTCTTGGCTTGGCTTTTGATGCAGAAGATACAGTATTCTTGAAGTGGCACAGTTTTAGGTGCTAGAACAGAATGGAACAAACAGTCCCTCCACACACAGTCAGATTTACAAGGGGAGCTCCCTCCACATGGTTGGCACCTTCTGATCACAAGCCAGTGAACCTCCCTAGATTGTGGTAAGGTAAGTAGAGGCTTGAGTGGTCTATAGAGAAGGATGTTATCTCTTGGACAACCTGAAGTTTAGCTATTTAGGATCTTGCAAACCAAGGGCAACACATTGTACCTTCCCCTGGTACATTTTTATCCAAAATCATAATCAAGGCAGCGAATCTTTTCAGCTTCTTAATTTGCCATTGTTTTCTGCAGGCCCCTCATGTTGCCATCCACTGAGCATAAGCCTTTCTGGTCCTGGACTTCGGCGTTGTGCCGTTTAACAGAAGCAGTGAAACCTCTGCTGGTGACAGCATCCCGTTGGTTTTGGTGGTGTCGGAAAGCTGTTACTCATGTATGTTTTGTTTCATTTAGATTACCTCTTTTCAGTAACAACACAATTCTCTTGAATGGCTCATCATTGCCATATCAGGGCAATTACACCATGACAGACCTTGAACATTCCAGTTGAAGGTTCAAATCTATGTTCATTTAAACGTTCGATAATCATTTGGCAGATCTGAGGTCTGAAGACTGTTGCAAGAAAGTACTATGAATTTGGTTATTTCCTGTTATCAGCTGTTTTGCATGCCTGTGAAAGAATTAAGTGGCTCTCTCACACCTACCTTTTATATCCCCCCAGATCTTCCAAATAATAAAAAAACCAATATTTCAATCGCACATGTGCCAGCAGGAGCTGAACTCTCTCAGAGAGCGATTAGAAAGGCTGGAAATTGAATTTTCTAAGCTGCAGTCCTTGGTTCAGGTTAGTGACACCTTTAAAAGTTTATTGTGATTTAGCAACACATCAGCAAAACCTTTCCTTATATCCAAGCTTTGGGGCAGCTGTTTGCTTTCAGCAAATAAAGATGACATTGTTGAGCATCCATCGTAGTGCATGGGTATCTTAGCAGTATCAACTGTCCCTCTTCTGTGAAGTCTACAGAAGCGTCTTGTTCAAGCCTCCCTCTTACTTAACTTGGTTGTGTTCTCCTTGGCGTTTGTGCTGGCTGTCCCTGGCTTGTGCTGAAAAACAGCCAATTGCACACACACACACGCACACAGACACAGACAAAGAGATGCAGTCCGATTGGTAAGAAGCTGTTGATGAGGGCGAGTGAGAGACAGCATGAAGCCGAGGCTGTATTAAAAGAAAGGTTGTAACTTGAAGAGACTCCAGTGATGAACTTCCAGAACGTGAGGTTGAAGGATGCTAGTTAAAAGACAAGATCCGTCATTCTTGTCCATGCAGCTGAACTACCTGGTTTGTTTACTGTGAGAGCTGAGAAGGTGAACTCGCTGTGCAAGGAAAGGCTTCTCCTCATGCTAAGGATGAAATCGGGATGCTAGTTAAAAGATGAGATCCATCATTCTTGTCCATGCAGCTGAGCTACCTGGTTTGTTTACTGTGAAAGTTGAGGTGAACTCGCTGTGCAAGGCAAGGCTTCTCCTCATGCTAAGGATGAAATCTCTCTCTCTCTGTTTCTCTCTCCCACTTAACAGAATGGAGCTGTTGCTCCTCCAAACTCTCTCTCTGTTTCTCTCTCCCGCTTAACAGAATGGAGCTGTTGCTCCTCCAACCAGCCAAAGCTCAGAGAGTCCAGTCTTGGCACTTCCTGCACTTAGAGAGCTCAACATCGTGAGACCAGTATCTTCAACGTCACAACTACTGATGCCCCCAGCACCCCCTCCACCTCCACCACTCCCTCCGCCACCACTTCCCCCAGTACCACTTTCTCTCAAAAGAATCGGTGGTACAAAAACACAGGTAATGTGTATTGGGATAGTTCAGGATGACAGCATCTTCTGCTCTTCTAGCAAGGGTCAACTGGATTCACAGCTGATTTATTTCTGAAATAACCTCTGTTGTCTACACTAGCCCCTCTGTGGAATGGTCAAGGAAGCGAGTGACTCATGACTGCTTCTTGTGATTTTGCTATCCTGTATTATTCATCTTCAGTTTTTAAAATTGATCCATGCTGTTCTATTCTTTTTTTTTTTAAGTAATATGCACTTCAGTGTTTTAGGAACCCTCTACTTTGCAAAAAAAATATATAAAGAAAGCAGAAGTGCTGGAGTTTTTTTAACCTTCAGATTTTTAAATCCTCCCATCCAAAAATCTATTCTTTTCTCTTCTTGCGCACAGACAGCCTCATTAAAAAAAGAGGTGCCAATGCAAATAACAATCCAGGATCTTCTAAATGTGAAGCTAAAAAAGACACAACGCGGCACAGAGATGAACAAGGTAACGCCAAAGATGAATGTTGTAATTCATGTTTTATGTGGAATACCCCGAGCTGAATGATGTGAGAGTGATCATACTGATGACACAACCTTCCAGGCCCTCTGCCTGCAAAAACAAGCTTTAACATTTATCACGTATGTTTTTAAATTAGTCTGGGAGGGGCTTTGGATCCCAGTTTTTCCAGAGGAGATGGATGTAAATCAAATAATTTCATTCTACTCTTTAGTTTAAAAAAAACTCCATGAAGGGAGAGAGAAAGAAACTAAAGCCAGCTCTGACACCAATTCTGGCAGCTATAATTCTTAATAGTTAAAGCTGTTGGGACAGCTACGGCTGCATGATGGTAGATGAAGTTTCAAAAGTGGCTGGTCTGTTAGTTGAAATAATAAATGCAGCAATGCAAATTCAATCGGGCAGCTGGAGCAGATCCAAGGTGAGCTAAAGCTGAAATCAGGGTTTCCTCTTCAGTTCTTTTCAGCCGTTTATCCCTAGGCAGCCCATCTCTTTGCACAGGCTATGCTTAGACAAAGTCTTAGGTTTAATATGGTTGCTCTTTTCTGTGTCTTAATTGTTTCCTCCTCAAAAGAAGCAAGAGGAGAAGGGTGTGTGCTTCTTCATCATTGGGTGCCAAAAGATTCGGAGGTCATCCAAACAAAAATGATTTTGGAGTTTCCAGTTAGGAAGAATATACTATTTTAAACTTCAAAGGCCGATTGATTGTCTGAAGATGGGAAGTGAGATGCACTTTAAAGTACTGAGGGCCATGGCAGCATTTCAAGAAGAAATTGGAGTGGGGTGGGGGACCGGTGGAGTCTATTGTATATTTTCTCAGTTCATCCATTCCTGTTTTTCTTTCAAACTTCAGAAGAGATCGCCGTTGGAGCAGCGTAAGGCGTTAGTTACTCTCTCGGATTTGCAGAGCATCAGTCTGAAGTCCAAAAATCCACGGCCAGCTGCTCGAGTTACTAATCATTTAATGTGAGTGCTTTCTGCTGCTGGTGGCCGCATACAAATTTTTGTCCAGCGTACAGATGAAAAATAAATCCCCAGCATTGACCATAGGCATTTCCCTACAGCATCTGACTTGCAGTGGGTTGGCAAGGAATCCAACCCTAAAACTCACGAAAAGGTCTTCAGTCCTTTTTCAAAGCTTCCGCCAGCTTGTGTCCAAGCCAGCTCAATGACTGTGTTCTGGCTTTCTTGTACTCTGAGGTCATCAGCAGAAGCTGAAGATGGCTGGGCTGGTGAATTCCAAGGAGAACGCCCTTGTAGTATTGACCTCAAACCTCTCTGAATGCGTCATCAGTTCATCAGACCTCCTCTTTGCCAGGTGTTCTGGGAGAAAAAAAATCTCTTTTTGGCCTTTAGCTGGTAGTATTTTGGGGGCTGATGGTCTTGGGTTTAATTGTTGGCTTTATGAATTTCTAGCATTCTGTTTTTGTTGTTTTTAAATTATGTACACCAATTTAGGGGAAGGGGTTTGTCTTTGAAAACAGCCTAAACCTTACAGCCAGGATTCTTGTTGCTTATGTGATCTGATCAGAACAGTTGCACGACAGTCTGTCTCCTCTTGCATGACTGGTTAGTTGCTTGCTGATTGCGATGGCCTTTCCGCTGGCAGGAGAAAAGTCACTGCACAATTGCTCTGGCAAATTCATTTTTTTTCTCAGTTTGATATTGGCGAATGTTCAATCCATGCTATCTTTCCATCTTTTCCCTAGCACTCCTAGCAAAACTGGCTTAGATTTACGGAAACACCTGAAAAAGGTTGCTATTGACAGGTAAGAGCTATTTGATTCACCCCCTTTTTTAGGAGGTGCACGGAGGAAGGCTTCCCTAACCTTCCCCAGGCCCCTCTGTTTTTTTTTCTAAAACTTGTAGAATGAGACTTCTGTTCTTTTCCTTTCTCTAGGAGCCCAGGTGGAACCCCGTTGACTAATAAAGAGAATACAGAGACAGGCACCGGGCTAACACCAATTATGACCCAGGCCCTACGGCGCAAGTTTCAGGTAAGCCTCTCTGGAAATGTTCTGTTGCCTTAATTGCACCTGCTAATTGGAATATTCTGGGAACGTTCATCCCCATTACCTGCCACCGCCACCCTGAAAATCATTTCCCACATTTTAAAAATAGTCACTCTCAACCAGAATTGGAAGCTAACCGCTCTTTTTCTTTCCCTAACAGCTGGCTCACCCAAAAAGTCCCTCTCCAGCAGGGTTAACAACAACAAACGGCTTTGAAGAGCGTACTTAGAACTCCACCTGCTGGCAATGCAGAGTCCCCCAGCCGCTGTGTCGCTTCCTTGGCCTCCACGGGATGCTACTGGGCAAGAAGGACGGGCATGGGGAGTGGAGAGAGCAGGCTTGGCAATCCAAACCAGTGGTTCCCAACCTTGGCTCACCCATATGTTCTTGGACTGCAACTCCCAGAAACCCCGACCAGCGCAGCTGTGGCAAAGTCTCCTGGGAACTGCAGTTGAAGAACACCTGAGTGACCCAAGGTTGGGAACCATCGTTCTTTCCTGGCCTGATGCCCTCAATATGTGCCAGGCTGCAGTTCCCAGAATCCTCTAGTCCATCATATTTGGACAGCACTCTGTTGAGAGAGCCACTGTAGATAGAGGTGAGATGGGAACCTGTAAAGCTTCAGATGATGTTGGAACATATCTCCCATGAGCATCATCCAGCATGTGCGGTGATCAGAGACTAGGGGACGGGAATCACTGAAGCTGTTGCTGTCCAGGTCCTGTGCCACTGATTGCTGTAACATTTGAGCACTGGATGAATGTACTCAAGACGGATGGAAATTGTCGCTCAGCAGTCCCCGGGGGGTGGGGGGAATCACTTTGCCCACTCCTTACCACAATGAATTGCATCTCTTTTTTTAAAAAACAAACTTGTTTACTGTTTTTTTTAAAAAATATTTTTGAGCAATATTTGTCAATTGAAAAACTTTGTTTTTAGGATTTGTAACAACCTCAGTCCCTCTGCGATCAGCTCTGTGTATAAATATGTACAAATGTAGATGGGTCTACGTAAATCCCCAGGCCACTATGTCTATGACAGAAAAAAAAGAGTAACCATGCGGTTAAAAATAAGGTATAGAATGAAGGTGTGCTTCAAATGACTTTTTATTTATCTAATCATTTCCTCCCCACTTTTCACCACTCAAAACAACTAGGTAACGGAGCATGTCAACACACGCCAGTTATTAGAATGCCTTGAAAATGAGCTAAAAGAATTCAAATGAACACTCCACCAGTTAAGAAACAGCAGAGTCAAATGGTGAAAATAAATTATTACTTTGCATACTGCAATTAGATTATATACTTCCACTGTATTTCGTATCCATAACTAAGTTTGTATCTGTTTGTTTATATATGTTCACTTACTGCTATCATTACCTCCTCACATCATTGCAAATAATGGTTATTTTCTGCCTGTGGCCCAGCCCTGAATGAATTCAGCTATGAAATGTGAAATGCATCTTGTAGAACAGCATGTGTGGGAATCTTTTTTTTTTACCATGAAGTTGACACCGATTTACTTGGTTATTTCTTTCCTCAGAGACTGCCAGCTTAGCAAGATCCTAACCTGTATCCTAAAAATAGGCACCTGTTCTCTTGTCATGAAATTAGCTCTTTCCAAGCTTGTGCTCTTGGACTTTGGCTCCCAAAGAGCTCTTCCCTACTGGCCACATAAACGAACATTTATGTTAATGGCAGTTCAAAACACACAGAGGGCACCAGAATGTGGAAACTTGCGTTGTACAAAAAAAAGAAAGAAAAGAAATTTGTAGCCTCCTTTCCACACCATCCAGACACACTCCTGTAGACTCCTTTCCACACCATCCAGACACACTCCTTTTGTAGGAAAGCAGTTTCTTCAGTTCCGCTGGAGTTTTTTTTTGCAACCCCGCATGCTGCCTTTGGTAGGCTTGGCTGGGAGGGACCTTTCTGGACTGGGGGTGAATGTCAGTCTATCCAGCACTAAACAATTGTCCCTTTCCTGCCTCTGAATCCAAAGAGATCCCAGTCTCTCTGTTCAGTGTTTTTTCCCTATCTTTGTTGAAGCAGTGAGTCTGTTGTTGAAAGTAGTCGTGCTAGTTCAGTTTGTTGTTCAGTCTGTTCAATTGCAAGTAATTAAACAATTTTATTTCTCCTATTAATATGTCGGAGTGAATTATTGAGGCCGCAAGTGCCAGTTGATGACAAAAGGGGTGTTCTACTCTGCGGAACTTGAAGCTATTCTGCTCTGTGGATTCCTGCACTTCTACGCAACTAGAATTTAACTAGAAATTCAAAACTGCAACATGCTATGCTCTCCTTTTAATCTGTGAAATCTTTCTTGATAAATCGGCATATGCTTCATGCTTATTCAGCATGTGAAAACGGAAGCAGTCCTCAAAATGCATTATCCATCACTAGTGAACAAGGGATGGAAACAAACTTAGGAGAGAATCGGTGCCAGGCAAGCGCTCCCATCAAATTGACATCCATCTCATGCTGTTAACCAGCGTAACAGAAAAGAATGGTGCAAGGAAAATGGATGAAGTGCCTTTACGCAAAATGCATAGCTGCTCGTTTAAAAATAAAAGGAGAGAAGTCTAGGAAGGTGAAGTATAAATATGCAAAGTATGACTATGCAACAAATGAATCTAAAAGAATGATTCAGTTCCAAGTGTGGTGTGGGAGGAGAGCTTTGCAACAAAACAGCTAAGATCAAGCCCAAACCTTCATGCCGATCATGAGTAGTCAAGCATGCTAGGAAAAGTTGATGGCAGGAGGAAAAGAGGATGCTGGCACCTGAGACGGATTGACTCGAAAAGAAAGTGGAACCTGGGTTTGCAAGGCCTAAGCAGGGCTGTTAACGCCAGGACTTTTTAGGGAATTAACAAATTCAGAGTTTCAGAGACAGCTGGCTGGCACATAAGACTACAATTGAACTGAAACAGATTTTTCATAAGGGTACTCCCGACAGGTGACTACAAAAACGCCACGTTACAAGACATAAACAAACTGTTGTAAACCGCCCAGAGACTTTTGCGTAGTGTAGGCGGCATATAAATTACTACTTAAACGTGAGACCCGTTCCCGTTACTGTAGCTAACAGAATATTTTGAAAAAAAATATGCCGAAAGCAACCAGGAAAGTCTCAGCTCCAGAGATCGATCGTACCACTCTTCCTTTTTCCTATCACGTTACAAGACATAAACAAACTGTTGTAAACCGCCCAGAGACTTTTGCGTAGTGTAGGCGGCATATAAATTACTACTTAAACGTGAGACCCGTTCCCGTTACTGTAGCTAACAGAATATTTTGAAAAAAAATATGCCGAAAGCAACCAGGAAAGTCTCAGCTCCAGAGATCGATCGTACCACTCTTCCTTTTTCCTATCTCTAGGTCGGGCTAAACGTGAGACCCGTTCCCGTTACTGTATTTAACAGAATACAGTATTTTGAAAAAAATATGCCAAAAGCAACCAGGAAAGTCTCAGCTCCAGCGATCGATCGTACCCCTCTTCCCTTTTCCTATCTCTAGGTCGGATTAGGGGGGGTAAGGAGGTCAACCGCGCTCTCCAAGGCTGCCCGGCTGCGGCAGCGGATTGGCTCTTGCAGCGGCGGTCCCGGCGACGCATGCGCTTCGCTTCCTCCTCCTCTTCCTCCTGCGCCTGCGCCGTGCTTGGCTCTGCCCTCGCTCCATCCCCGGGCGGCTGCGAAAGGAGCGC